TCCCCAGTGGTTCCCAGTCGTCCCCAGTGGTTCCCAGTTGTCCCCAGGGGTTCCCAGTTGTCTCCAGTGGTTCCCAGTTGCCCCCAGTGGCTCCCAATCCCTCCCAGTGGTTCCCAATCCCTCCCAGTGGTTCCCAGCAGCCCCCAGTGGTTCCCAGTTGTCCCCAATGGTTCCCAGTTGCCCCCAGACATCCACAGTTGCTCCCCCAGTGGCTCCCAGTTACCTCCCAGTTGGGTCCCCAAAGGCTCCCAGTTGCCCCAAGTGACTCCCAGTCGCCCCCCCCAGTAGTTCCCAGTTGTCCCCAGTGACTCCCAAGGGTTCCCAGTTGCCCCCCCCCAGTAGTTCCCAGTTGTCCCCAGTGGCTCCCAGTGCCCCCAGTATCCCCCCCCTCCCCAGAGCATGCGGCTCAAGCTCATCGCCAGCAATTCCACGATGGAGCGGCGCTTCAGCCCCTGGATCGGGGGCTCCATCCTGGCCTCGCTCGTGAGTCGGGGGGTCCCGGGGGGTCTGGGGGGGGATCCCCCGCCTGGGACCCCCCAAAAACACCCCAAATCCCCCCCCCGTGTGTGTGTGTGTGTGTGCCAGGGCACCTTCCAGCAGATGTGGATCTCCAAGCAGGAGTACGAGGAGGGCGGGAAGCAGTGCGTGGAGAGGAAGTGTCCCTGAGGGGGAAAAGAAATGGGGGGAAATCAATAAAAAAATCGGTGAAATCCACCCCCCCCCAAAAAAAAAAAAACCAGTTTGAAATTCGCCCGAAAATCCGCCCTAAAGCGGCGCGTGGAGAGGGAGCGTCCCCACAGGGGGGGAAAAAACCCGAGGGGAGAAATGGGGAGGAATCAATAAAAACCCAAAATCTACCCAAAAAAAAAACCAACCTGAAAATCAGCCCCCAAAAAACTCCCCAAAAGTCACCCAAAACTCCCCTCGAAAGCGGCTCCGAGGCGGCCGTGGAGGGGAGGGGGGAGTTCCCAGGGGGTTTGGTTTTTTTTTTTTAACCGATTCCGGGGGGTTTTGCCTCAAAACGGGGCGGGGGGGAGGAAATCACGTGACCGGCGATCGGGCGCGAAAACCGAGGCGGGAAAAAGGAGGTCACGTGAAAAGGGAGGGGGAAATGGCGGGAAAGGCGGTGCGAGAAACGCCGCGAGACTTCGCGCGGCTCTCGCGAGATTTTCCGGGAAGGAAGCGCGGGGGTCGCCCCCTGGCGGCCGCGGGCGGGAACCGCGCGTCGTCGTTCTCGCCGTTCCCGTCACCGGGAAGGGACGAGCGGCCGGTTCTGTGACGTCACGACCGAGGCCGCGACGTCAGCGCGCGGCTCGGGCTCGGAGGAAACGCCAAGCGCAATAATCCAGCGGGGGGACGGGAAGGCGGTGAGGCGCGCTCCGTCTCGCCCCTGTGGACTACAACTCCCGGCATCCCCCGCGCTACCGCGAGGCCCCCCCTCATCTCCCTCCGCGCCGCGCGCCCGCTCCGCCTCCCCGCCGCTTACCCTCCGTCCCCTTTCCCGTGCACCCCAAACCCCTCATCGCCTCTCCCTCCTCTCCCTCCTTCCCTCCCGTGCCGCCGCCATCCCCCCCCCCCCTCCGCCGCGCCAGCGTTTCGCGCAGGCGCTCCGCGGGGACAGCCCCGTTCCGTGAAGCCCCCTCAGCAAACCGACTCCTCCTATTGGCCGCCGCTCGCGAGGCCTCCCTCCCCATTGGCCGCGCGCTCCCGCCCCTCCCCTTTTCGGGGCGTGCCCCCCTCGGAGCCCCGCCCTTTCCCCCTATATAAGCGCGGCGGGGCCGGCGCAGCGCGTCCATCGCGGTTCGGACGCGGCGAGAGCGGAACCTCCGCGGGGGCTCCTCCCTTCCCCGCGCGTTTTCCCCCCCCGGCGCATGCGCGGGGGCGGCGCGGCGCAGCGCGCAGGCGCGGGCCGGGCCGCCATGGCGGCGGCGCCCGAGGCCTTCCTGGTACCGCCTCCGCCGCCTCCGCCCCCCGCGGCCCCTCAGAGAGCCCCCGAGACCCCCCGGCCCCGCAACGGCCTCCGCGCCCCGGGCGGCGGCGGCGGCGGCGGCGGGGGCGGGAAGCGGCGCAGCAGCTGCGGGGCCAAGCAGCCGGCGTGGAAGCGGCGGCGCCGCGCGGCCTCGGAGTGCGGGCCGCCGGTGCTGCCCTCGGAGTTCCTGCTCGGCGGGAACATCTTCGACCCGCTCAACCTCAACAGCCTCCTGGACGAGGAGGTGAGCCGGGCGCTCAACGCGCGCACCCCGCAGTCCTCGCCGCTGCCGGCGCGGGGCCGGGACCCCGTGGAGATCCTGGTGCCCAGGGACATCACGGACCCGCTGAGCCTCAACGCGCCGGGCGACGACGGGCCCGAGGTGCGGCTGGCGAGCCCCGCCAAGAGCGGCCGGAGGAGGCACCGGCACCGCGGGCAGCAGCGGGCCAACAGCGCCAGGAACAGCGCCAGCAGCGGCGGCGGCACCGGGAGTAATAACGGCGGCGGCGGCAATGCCGGGAGCGGCGCCGGGAACGGCGCCGGGAGCAACGGCCCCGAGGAGCCCCCCGAGCCCGGCCCCACCGGCCGCCACCGCAAGCGCCGACGGACTTGCAGCAAATCCGAGGGGCCGCGCCCGCCGCCGCCTCCCCCTCCTCATCCTCCCGCCGCCGCCCAGAACCACGAGAAGCCCCCGCAGGAGAAGGCGGGGAAGCCCCCCGGGAAGGCGCCGCGGCGCCAGGAGCGCAAGTTCCAGTACGGGAACTACTGCAAGTACTACGGGTACCGCAACCCCGACGTGGAGGACTCGCGGCTGCGGGCGCTGCGCCCCGAGTGGTTCGCGGGCAAGGAGGTGCTGGACGTGGGGTGCAACGTGGGGCACCTCACCCTGAGCATCGCCAAGCGCTGGGGGCCCGCCCGGGTCGTGGGGCTGGACATTGACGGGCGGCTGGTGCGCTCGGCGCGGCAGAACATCCGCCACTACCTGTCCGAGGGGCTCGGGGAAGGGCAGGGAGGGGAGAGGAGGGGGTTTCCCGCCGCGCTCTTGGCCAGCCGGGGACCCATCGCGGCCCCGCAGCTCCCCCCGGACGGGCCCGGGGCGGCCGAGTTCCCGCACAACGTGGTGTTCGTCACGGTGAGTGGCGGGAGGGGGGTC